TCAGCATTCAGGCTGTTGACGTAATTCGACGTTCCTTGTGCAATTCCGTCCCTCGTCTTGTTGGGATTCTCAAACGGTTTATGTATCTACCCAATCTCAGATAGTTACGGAATCCAGATAGAATCCAGATGCCTGAACGCATTGGAATATCATGCTGGTTTAGAGGACCCTTATTGCCTCAAAACGAGGTTAATGCAGAATCAGTTACACCACGATAATGTTATATGTTTCTGATTAGTAAAGTGTGACGTAGGTGAATACTTGTCAGACAGGTCTGGAAAGTCCCGTTTTATTTTGGTCACTACTCGGTGATTTGCATCCTGAAGATGAACTAACCCTCACGACTCTCTAATCTCAAGAGTGTCCAAGCCTTGACTATGGTCCACATGATGAACACACGGTGATTTGTGTGTATACATGTGGTTATAGACTTATATTTCCGTTGCGTGTATAAGTAGTATAGTTGCTGAAATGCACACGTCATTAATATCCGGCAAGCCGCAGGTGGACTACAAACGTTTTGAAAACAAAACGTTCCTGTGCACATTCCGGATTTACAACTTATCAATTGCTTGAGAATGTGATACTCTCTCCATAAGCAAATATCTTCAGGAGATGCTAAGTTTTGATGGACGTTAAACGTGAGCTGTTTTCCAAATCTTCTGTACCTGGCTAACAAAAGATTAGGTGTCTTTGAATGTTTCAAACAAAAGATTATTTTCTGTACTGAATATGCAGACCCAACTAATAACCAGAAATGGGCATATTAGTATGGTTGAGATTTTAACATTGCGGCGCTACTAAGAGCTCGATAAATACTGGATTAAATTTATCTGTTGCAACCCTGGTAACTTTACCGGACATAGCTGTGTGGTGAATTCTCACCAGTGTCTCCTTTCAAAACGAGTGATCGAGCTGAATGGAGTCCTCTCCATAAAGCCTGGCAGCATACTTGGATATGCCAGAGGGCCTCGTCATTATGACTGTCTCTCTTAAATTGTTGGACCAAAGTGTCTTCTGTTCAGTATCAGGAAATTTGATCTCTTGAATGGAGATTAGAATGGAAATCCATGACTCCATTTGTCTCGTGAATCGGTGGTTCGTTCCCTGTTGTATTCCTGGATGAGCAGAGCAAGCTGGAATGGAGTAAAACTGCCACGGACTGGATAGCTACCAGCTTATTGTGTCTTGTGCTAAAAATGTTCCATGGTTATTTCTGAAGAAACGGAACGTGGTCGACCGTCATGTGTAGGCAGTTCATCAGTCCCCGTTTTATCAGTTAACTTTTACTGGTTTGAGTTCCTTCGGAGTTACAAACGGTGCTCTGCACGTTGTTTTCGTGCATCGATTGCCGTCGTAATTCCTAAACGTAATACTCCAAAGCATTTACTGCTCTAAGGCAGCCATCCGATGGGCTAAAACCTCTTCACAGCCTTCAGTGACAAAGCATCCCAGGTTGCTTGGCCCCAAGTATGCTTGGTTCCCCAATTATGCATAGAACGCTTTATGGAACTCCGCTTCACCAATGAGCCCCCGTTAACAAATCAGGGCCAATGTACGTTCATCCAGAATATGTAGTTTGGGTCCATACTACTGCTTCCAAATGTGGACCACTCTGAATAGTTTAGAGTGAGGAACCTAGCTGGTTGCAATCCAGCCAGTAGGTACCGTGAAAGGGAACTTTTCACAAAAACATGCTGTCCGTAACGTGTCCCAATAGTTGGTTTGTTGAGAACTCACCGTTGTGTTCCCTGAATGTGGGAAGAATGACTTGAGAACCAACTGATATTTGCGAGGACCCAGCCAGGCTGAACATAGTAATCGCTTGACCATAGGACTTAGAGGGATGGAAGCTCCGCAAGACGAAAAGACAGGCCTGCTTATGGTAACATGCATTTTTGTGAACATGCATAAACAAACAATAGTCTGATTAGTTCGTCTGGGATATGCACGAAAGATGCGCGTAAGCGCACACGTGACCACTAGGGTGGACATATGCTCGTAATCAAGTTCCGGTTTACCTAATAGAGCGCAAGGCGTCGGGTTTGTGACTGGGTTGACTGCTGAGCCTAGTTCCAGCTGTTAAAGCCAATCGACAAGCTAAGATATCCACACCCACCAAATGAACATGCCATGCGATAGTTTTCACGGTTGGTTACTCTATTAGCCATGCCCATATGGAATGCGTGTGCCGCTCACAGGATCACCACACAGTGCACTCACACACACTTGATCTCCTTACGGAATACAGTCATTTTCAAACTCGTTTGGCTCTAACCCTAGGCTCAACTGAATCCCAGTTGAATCCCTCTTTTGTGTTATTAGTGAGTAGGGTTTCTTCAAAACACAGTATTCCCATTCACTCACCAAATGCGGATTATAGTAGTGCTGCCAACGAGGACTGGTTTTATCAATATCAAATAAGAATTGTTGCGACCATTGCTGGCAACAACAGCACAAATGATAAAACCTTGACCAACCCACAGTGCAAATGAATTGATGTGTGACAACAAAATCAGCTAACCTCCCGGAAGCAGAATAAGATCACATCCTATGCAATATCAACGGGAAAAGCCATCATCTCCTATAAGTTCACTGCCGATTTGCAGAACCCGAAAGCAGCAGGGAATTAAGGAAATCAGGATAGGAGATAAAAATAATATACCTAGCTTTCATCGCACAACTGCTCGTTCAGACTTCAGCTTAACGCTTAATCTGGCTGGTGCAACGCACCTTAGAAACACAGGATATCACAATATCGCACACTCCTGGATCAGTACCAGATGACCATTGAGAAGTGGGTGAAACTGACACCTAAACACCAGGACTCATAAACTGTTCTTGGGGGGATTTGCTTCCGTCAAACGTTCTCTGCCCGATCTTGAAAGCTTGCGTTATCATGAGTTGGTACCAAATCTGATTTTACACATTCGCTTTAGGTGTCATGTCAGTCAGTTGGGCGGTTTGCATGTGGCGCGAAACAGCCCCGTCGCAATAGACAGTAAGCTCTAACTGGGTCCTGATGTCACCATATGAGAGCCGGCAAACAAGCCTGCAGATGGCTGGCTGATTTAACAAAGCAACAGACAGCAGTCCGCAGTTGTCGCATGACGGACTTCGTCCTACGTCCACCATGTATCGACTACCAGGTATCCACGACTGAACCGATCGGACGATACGGTGGTTCACCCACCCGCCAGTGTGGCCTGCTTTGGTAAGGCGTCGGCAACGCAGCCGTGAGAACAGATGAAGAGGTCTTGCATGACCCAAGACCATTTGCACATGTCCTCCTTTTTGTATGATGGCCTGCCTGCTTCAGACCTCGGGGGATCGTTGCGTGTGCTCGCGTACCATCCTAGATACTTCAGACTTCGGGGGATCGTTGCGTGTGCTCGCGTACCACTAGCAAGCGAGAAATTCACAGTACGACACAGCTGTGCTCTGACGCGTTGGGTTGATTGATTGAAATACAGACAGACAGGTCGGATAACCGATATAGATTTTGTATCCGTTCTGGGTTGAAAATCATGTCACAGGCACTCGCGCTTCAGTCTGCTCGTGAAGGCCTGGAATAATATGATTTACTTCAGACAAAAAACGTGGAGCTGGTACACAAGCGGTCACAAGGTGGGTTGGTCACAGTGGAGACTATGTCGGTGATTTATCATCCAGTGAGCGAAATAACGCTGTAAGCACACTGACTAGAAGGAACACATATAAGCTTACTGGCTAGTTAGGTCTCTGCGCCGCTCATTGGTGTAACCTATGAGAGCAAAAACAGCACTGAATTGAGCTAGATTTCAGTTGCTTTACTTGCGAGATTTTACTTTATCGGACCGACATTTCTTCTCAAAATGGATTGAAATGATGCAAAAAAACAGTATGGATTAAATTTCTGCCTACCAATTTGAGACTTCTGGGATATGTTGCTCTATGTCACTTAGTCCAGTCGGTAACATAACCGCTTAAGTAACTTCCAATTGCAGAAAACTCTGCGTCTTAACTTTGAAAATTAGTACTTACATGGTTATGCCCTTGCATACAATTATCCGTCAGATACGGATTTATCCAAAGACGAGGCACTTCACCTGAGAGCGGATAAGGCGTCTTTCATTAGCCACCCCTTACTATACGTCTTCTTTCGAAAGAAACCAACCTATGACTGAAGTCAGGAACACCGCAGTTCTTGTAGTAATAACAGCTGTGACGGTTACGCAATGCCGTAATCCGCCTGTTAGGCCGTGCAAACTTGCGTGGTGCAGCGACCGCCTCAAGCGTTTGTTCGTTTGACATGACAGGCTACATTCACGTTTGATTCGTTAGTAGTATATGTTGGTCATGTTTCCACCTGTTTCGTCCCGCACTTTACCAGTTACTTTTGGTTCGTGGCCTACCTCACACAAAATACGTCCGATAAGCATTACTTCCATTCCGTATGACCGTATGCCAGTCCCAGACAGGTGCAGGAACTAAGCGACTGCGTGCCTTTTAGGGTTTGTAGTACAATTTATAGCAGTCAAACCAAGGACTGTGCATTAGTTTGTTGTTTTGTGTATTCATCAGCAGTGGACACTTCGCAAGTAGCTAAGATGACTCTATCTTAAATTCTATAGATAGAACTCAGTCGTCCATGCATACGTTTGTATGTGCTGTGTACCAATCCTTATACTTACTTTTTTCAGTCCCGTTAAATCCAAATTGCAAGATATTGACTGTGATATATAAACGTAAAGGTTGCAGTTTACAGTAGAATGACGCCAAATTCACCACTTTATTGACACATACAGCTCCAGTATTAAAAACAGTCGCTGTTTCGAATTTGAAATTCCGGTTCACATACAATCACGTGATAAATACTTAAGAACATGTGGAATTCGGAGAACGTCTGTGAACTGACTGCTTCCACAAACAGAAAGTGGCGGTTGGTCATCAGGTCACGTTGTTTATATAAGTTGGATACAAATGTGTAGCACGTACCATAAAGTTCAACAGAAAAGATGGTGTATGAACGTATTTCTCTCCGGGAATTCTGCCGCAGAGCAGGGAGGAGAAAGCGGGTTCTTACTGCTACGGCACTGGATACACCTTTGAGGCGATGCCTCAATATTCCACACTTATCCTTCTTCTGTATTTCTTACATCATTGGATACGGTCTCTATGTGTTTACTGGAAGTTTGATACGGGATTTCACAGGACTGGCTACGGGTCTGGCCTATCTGGTGTCAGCTATTCCCACTATAATGACAGCATCTTGTTACGCTGAGTTCAGTACGCTGTTTCCTCGATCAGGGTCGGTCTATTTATACAGCTATCTATTGTTCGGTGAGCTCGTCGCCTTCACAAGTGCGTGGGCAATGTTTGTTGGAATGTGCACCGCGGTGTCCACGGCGGCCAAATTGTTTTCCAACACAGTCAATGTACTGTGTGATAACCAAATACGTTTTTGGGGTGAAAATCACTTGGTAAATTTGGGCCCCTCACGATTCATCGACCAAACACCTGATTTGACTGCAGCCGCATTTATAATTATGCTCGGATTATTCACTCTTACTGGAGCTAAGTTCTCACTGACGATAAATGCTGTGTTATGTGTTCTTCAACTAATGTGTCTGTTTGTTTTGTTGATTGCCTGTTTCGCTCTTGGTGGTGGAAAGAACTACACCGAGAGTTTCCTGCCCGAAGGTTCAAGCGGGTTCTTTGGCGGAATTGCAGTGGCCCTGTTTGGTCTTTCTGGTTTTGAGTCATTAGCGAATTTGAGTGAAGAGGCCAAAAATCCTCGTCGGGACCTACCAATTGCCTTTCTAATCAGTATTGGTGTATGTACATTCATTTATGTAACGGCTTCATTTGGATTGGCGTATTTGGTACCCACCGAGGTCCTCTCAAATGACCTGCCTTTCATCACTGCTTTCAAGCGGCCTCATAATCCTGTGCTCTTGGTTGTAGCAATGATTGGTACGGTCTTGGGAACTGGAGCTACTAAACTGGTAGTTATGTATACTGTACCACGAATCCTCTATGCTGTGGCGGATGACGGCTTGGTATTCAAATTTCTATCCAAGATCAATAAACGCACTAGAATACCAATGTGGAGCGTGTTATTGGGACCTGTTCCATCTATTTTGTTAGCAGCGTTTGTCAAAGTTGTGTGCCTGTATGAAGTCATGAAGATCTTCACATTGTTTTGCTACATTGTGGTCAGTCTCAATGTGATGGTTATTCGTTATATTCCCAACGAGGATATTGCCTACTTGGAAGAACATGACCTAGAGCATTGTGGGACAGGCGTAGTAAATGAAGTCCATATGCGCATTCATCTTCCTAATTCTCTGGCCTGGTTACAGTCTCGTGTTTGTTTTGCGTATTTGCTGTTTGGTTTCACCGCTTCAGCCCTCATGCTGGGGATTGTAGTGAACATAAAGCTGGTTTATTTTCACGTCGCCTTGTGGATTATACCTGCAATACTATGTGGATTGGTTGTAGTCACATTCCTGGTTCTCTGTACCTACAAACCAAGAAAATTTATTGGAGGGTTCAGGGTAAGTCCTTTATCATTGATTCTGAAGCGTAATTTTTTTCCCAGCGGGTGATATTTTATCTGAATGCATTGTGGGACTGACGGTAACGACAAATTCTACACTGTTTTCGATTCAAAAAGGTTATTCAGATGGAAGATGAACAGTGCGACTGCTGGAAAATGTGATAAACTGCGTGCCCATCATTCCCCGATGCAGAAGGGGTAAATGGCACGCAAAGAAAGAACGATCGTTGGTTTGTATATTGCTGCTCAAAATTTCCTAGGCGTCGGGCAGTTGTTTTGGCGAAAGCTGGACTCAAGCACGCGCAATGCGGGTAAAAAAATCACTCTTTCTCTGTAAATTCTTGATCATTCGGACAAATATTCTAGTTTACACGGTAACTGGGAAGTAAGTAAGCTTGCTCATCTAGATTTTGTAAATAAATATTTTGAAAAAAAACGAAAAACAGACATACTTGTCCTACCACTCTACCTAGTAGAAAAGCTTAACAGGCTAATCTACTTAACAGGCGAGCCTTTCAATGTGGCATTGTGTAGACGGCCACACTATCGCTGCCTGCAATCAAAATAGATGCTACCAAACTTGAATGATTTTAGTAAAAAAAGGCATCCAAACCTGAAGTACTGTGAACTCGAATCTTTCACTTCTGTTGTCCGAATAAGGAGACGAAATATACATTTATGGTAATATTGGAAACGCTAATGCGGAAGCCAGTGTCACGCTGGGCTGAACAAGTATCAGCCTTCACTAGGATTTCAGGGAAAACCAGTGCTATCTTGACCATGGAAATCGACCAAAAAACGGCCTTGGTCAGCCTATGAAACCCATTTTATTGAGCAAAATCACAGAAAATCTTTTTGCAGGCCATTCCAAGCCCTACACTAGTTGCTCGAACTTCTGAGAATTATGATTTTCACAACTTCTCACTGACTACCTTTTAGCTTGTGTTGTAACACTTACACTGTTCATCTGCATTGCTTGCAAAGAATAAATGAAGTTTATTGACCGGACAACTTTGGTAGTTTTGTGTTGACCTTGCATTGCGAAATACCGAAACGACTAGTTGGGAGGTCTTGAATTGTATTCGGGCAATTATTGGCTTATCTTGTGGTCATGTAAGCTGTTGGGTGCTATGCGCCACCCCTATCACTACAAGTGTCAACTTTTGTGACAAGCAATTCATCAGTTTGTGGCAGTGTAGTCAAAAACAACCCAAATATAAAAGAATCGTTTCTCGTGTGCCATGAGACAATCTTCGGCTAGTCATCAGCGCCGCTTTGCCGGTGATTGTGTGGCGATATTGTTCATCCCATACAGTGATTTTGTAAAGTGATTTTGTCCGAGTGTTGTTCGAGTATACTACAGTCTCACGATCCGTTCAACAGCAGGGACTCGAAACACTCCACCATAATTTCACGCTTCAAACGTGGGCTCAGTGTTTAGGGGGTGTATGATTCGGAATGAAATCGAAACGTGTCTGCCAATAGTGTTCTGCCAGGATGAGATGAATTTTTTAGGATCCAGCGCAGCGTCAGTTGGCATCAAACAAAACCATTACAACCACTACCACGGTTTCTATCATGGGATGGCACATCAGCCAGCTTTGCTCGCCTGATCACCATTCATTCGAAAATCCATTGACCGTGCTGATTTTGCCGTGTTGTTGTAGTCAACATCAGAGACAGTACTGAGTTTGTAAAAAAGTTCCCTGTTGGGTGTCGTGCTAAACAAATGGCGCCGTATTAAGGTCACGTGTGCTGTCACGTTGCAATTTCTGCCACGGAGAATGGAATGACGACATTTCGAAATTGCAACTGACGCGGCTCGAGTTTGGTGATACCGTAGCAACCGAACCACTGAAATCATGTGGATAAAATTTACGAGCCGGGAGGATTTTGGACAGCCTGACATCCCATCTGCGAAGAGAGATTTCACCAAGAAAAAAGTCAAAATGAGGTATGCATGCAACTCATTTCTGAAAACATTCCCCATCGAGTAAATATCGTAACACAGTTCCCTAAGGAAGGTGAATCTCGGGCTGCTTTACTACAAGCCAGGTAGAATATAACTCCGCAATCTCTAAACTTTGATCATTTGGGATCTGTAAATCGGAGTGAATCTTATTTGTCCTGGTGTACGATCAGCTCTGAACAGTGAGCTGCAATAGACCAAATGATAGAGGAGACTCGGGAAGAACTATTCAGCGAACCATCCTCACCAAACAGAAGGATGTCACTTGCGAGTCAGAGTTTACCAGAAACAAAGCGCCATCGTATACTACATACGATGCTGATGTAGCCAACGCGAGCTTCCATTGACGCGTATTACTGAGGTCTACTGACAGCGCAAACTTAGAGTGCATCAACAGATGTAAGCAACATTGAAAGTGATCGTACATAGTTTAATGAAGCGGGTATTGAATCAGAGGGCTTCCATCATCTGGTCTTTTGATAAACTGATGATATGGTAATTGAAACATCTCCTGAACAAAAAATCATACCGGTCTATACAGAAGAGGATGCTTCTTTCAATCTATTCATCTCTACTACCTTATCTGGTGTAAACAGGTAGCTGCCTTTGATTTATCTGTGGCATCGGAGCGATGATATATCTTCTGGTGGACATGCTGAATCGGTAGTGTAGTATTTATTGATTGGGAATTAATGTTCACAAATCGGGGTGTGGAGTGGAATGGTGTTTTGCTCCTCTGCCTCTGCAGGCCCGACTATTTGGCAGAGTGGATAGGCACTGGCAACGGTATTTCACTGTCCGTGATCTGATCTGCTTGCTCACCATGCCGTGGCGAAACCGATGCACATTGAAATCTGCTTGCTCACCATGCCGTGGCGAAACTGAGAGGGACAGTAGTGAGAATCATTTTGGCGGTCTTCACCTGAGACACTACTAATAGGGTTACCGAAAACTGCTCACCTCCGCTGTATTATGCGGGGAAATCGTATAGACAAAAAGGGTGAGGACTGTCAAATGCTACATAGTGCAATTTGTGACAAAGTAAATGTGCTAACAAAAAGCGCTTACAAAACATACCTTGAGCGAATAAGTTTCGGATTGGTCCCTGCAATTACCGCCATGGATTGAAAGTAAAACAATCTTACTTCGCAGTCCCAATTATTTACCCATGTGATTCGTAGGCAAATGAAACAAATTTTCTAGAAAGATTCATTGAGTATTCATATCCCGAAGTGGTCTCACGATGCACTCTTCTGTATGATCACAAAGAAGCGGCGATTCTTTCGTAAGTCAGCCATCTCCTCATAAAACTAAGTCAGCTTCATCCCCATCTGTAAATGGATCCACTAACTGCAACAAAATTCGCAAAAACGCAATCATGAAAACAGCATTGGAAGTTTAAATAGTTGTCCAACATTGGGGGACGTTAGTCGACTTCGGACTAGAACGAATGCGTCTCTTCGTGGTGTTTGTGTGAAATCCTTCTAGCGGATTGGAAAGTAAGTAGTGATTCTCACTTTCCATACATCTGGTTGTCATATCCTGAATTGTTAGACCAGAGGTAGGACTTGTGATTAGACCGAATGCAAGCTGATGTTTGTCACAGAGCTGTCTACTTCCCCCTTGTAGTGCTGCTCAGAGGTTATATGATCAATTCATTGCTGGAGAGGAATATTGACTTTGACCGACTTAGAAAAGTTTCATCCTCAAACAACAGGTCCTGTTTCATCAAACACGATGGATTTGTTTCACGGTGTATCAGAGAAAGTGAACTTCTGTGAGGAGTAGATCTAAGAATCAGTAAGGCGTATCCTTAAACGTGTCTACTACACCAGTAGGGTGGATGACTTTGTCTCTCACCGGCTGTTAGAAAAAGTAAACTTCGCGTGAGCTGGGGATTCTTGGAATCAATACAGCGCAGTTGTTTGCATAGCGTTAAAAATTCACATGAATTGTCGGCAACTGACAACTAGTACGCATGTGGAGCCGCCCTGCATATTTGTGTCTCCATATACTCAATATTAATTTTCTTGCCACTAGGAAAATCAAGTGGCGTACTTACAGTTGTCCGGGATGCATTTTTGCTTCTGCTTGTTTTCTGTATTGAAGTGGTGCGGCGTCAGTTAGGTGGAACAGCATTGAAGCGCACACTAACCTGGATTGAAGCCATCTTTCAAAGCCTTGGCCTGCACCAAAGAATATATTACAAAAGTGTAGAATTGTGTGGATGAATTATATGAGGTATAGGGTCATATCCAGCCCATCTCCATGGCATGCTTGTGGCTGAATTCGATTTCTGAAAAGGCCACAAATCCTCGTCTAATGCTAGAATTTAACAGACATCAGTACGACGTTTTGGCATAGTGGTTTTTGACTGTTTAGAAATCCCCTTGTTGAGAATGTTAGGACTACAAGATGGCAAGGGATATTTTAGATTTGCAGGCCTAGGATTTTCCGATATTTTTGAGAGTAGTTTCCAACTTACACCTTACCAAACCTCCAATTGATACACAAATTCTAATTTCAGAGTGAACTTTTGAGTCAGAAAAACTAAACGGCTGTACGAGGCAATCCCGAATCGTCTTAGTGACCGTGTAGTGAATTTGCCAATACACTGCACAACGATAGAGCCCATCATCTATACAACAAGTTCGATTATGAATAGAGCTAACAAGTCTCCCGGATATAAAAGTCTACATTGGCTTGAATGGAAAACTGTGATCCTTTATACAAGGATGATTGTACTGAGGGAGATATAGTGCCGTTTTACTGTGCAGTGTTCATGTAAATTCGCGCATTATTGTACGAATTTATGGAAAAGTTTTAGACGGGCAACGCTACTGTTGTGCCTAGGTGGCGCACAGGGGCGAGATGGCTCAGCGGTTGGAAAGCAAATTCACTGACCGGAAGGTCCGTGGTTCGAACCATATCTCGTCTGTCTGGGCTTGGGAAACCTGCCATTATCCCAACCCTCGTGCTTCTTCAAGAGGCATGGCAGTTAGACACTTAAAGGGAGCTGCTGCTGATCGAACGATGAAGTGGCGCACATATGGATGGAGGACTCACTTGCAGAGAATCGTACTCCGCAATTCAGTATAGCATTGGACTGTACAACAGGCCTTCAACGGATGAGTGTTTACTTCATGATGCATCTGAGTTCACAAAACGCGAAAAGCATTACGGTGTTGTCTCATTTGATGACAGCTTGGATATTAACTGAATCGAATATTGTGGTAAATTTTTTCAACAACTTTAAAACAACGAACTGGATTTCAGTCAAACGTACTTCTGCTTAGTTTCAGTACCCACAAGTCAATGAACCCTTCTAGTAGAAACTGGATGGATACAATTTACGCCTTTTGCACTACAGGCTGATGACTAAACTCAATCCTAAGATGTCTACTGTACCTAACCATAACCTAATTGCATGTTTCTGTTAAGGCATTATTTCCTACAGAAGACTATCATGCACTGGTCTGTCGTATTTATGCGTGTAGCACTCAGTCCCGATAGGGATGCCGATGGCAAAACCTGCAGCGTGCAAGTTGGGAATTTTGTGTCAAATTCGGTGGGTTTTATCACGCATGAAGATGCCGTGATTTAGACAAAATACTTGCAAACTAACTCGGCGTTAAGGCAACTGAAACTGAAGCCATCGTTTTTGATTGCCCTGATTTTTATTTCAGACACCCCTCATGCCAGTTGCTCCATGTGGTGCCATTATTGCCAATATCTTACTGATGACCCGAATGGGTGCAGACGCCTGGGGACAGTTTGCATTCTGGTCACTCATTGGTGAGTTATTCTACATGGATTTGTGAGCACAGCGACGTTTTGCGCCACAGGACTAGAATTTGTGTGCTGTTCACAAAAAAAAGTACTTTCTGTTCATTTCTACTGTATCCACATAATACGAGGCATCCGTGTGCTTCAGCTTGTTGCATACGTAGGACTTTTAAAACATGAATGACGGTACTTTCACGGTCGTGTATGATAGAGCAAAGCCAAATATCTCAAGCATCACCATCCATATGGTATAGCAACGATGCATACTCGTGTTAACTCCGTTAATTCTACTTGGTCACTTGTGGTTACAAATGAATGCATGCGCTAGTGGTGTGATCCTTCTGAGGGGGTTCGTGGCCAGCACACCACGAACCACCAACCAGCGTGGTAGGAACAACAAAGAATGAATGTAACAGAATTTGGACACCTAGAAGCCGAAGAATCGGTGTACTAGATTCCTGGATTTAAGAAGATTAAAAAGGATTGTAAACGAACGGGCATAAATTTTTTACTCAACAAGTATGATAGGCAGCAGGCCGAGAAGTGACAATTTCATAAATGTAGCTCCAGAGATGTTAGAGTATCTAATCAGGTCAAAACTCCCCATCCGTTTCATTCAGTAGTTGATTGAGGCTGGCTTCCTAGGGAGTTTAGCTAAGGTCATACTATTGCTTGAAGGGCCAATGAACAAGACCTTATTATTTGGCGATTTAGATAAATGCACCATTCGATAACAAATTTAAAAGTCCTTTTCAAACACGGTTTTTCCACGGACGAACATTTTGCGCTCAAGTGATTTTTACACCAACACGCGGTCTGATAAAACAAGATGTGACGTAATATGAATCGCGTGACTGTAGACTGAGTGGCGGTATGTCCTGTCTGGGTGTGATTCGACCACATTAGTGATCAGCTGTTTGTGGGCTAACTACTTAGTCGTCTTTCAATGCCCACGAGGTCGCGGGTTCGGGCCTTCAAAGGGATTATAGGTGCACAATCCTCTTGTCTCTCAACGAGGACAAGATAGCTGTACGGTACTCATCACCAAGACATCTGTGACTATCGACTAGATATTTCTGGCGGATGGTTAACTAGTGTACGTAATGATCATAGGTCTATCTAAGCAGCAGTTTGAATAATTTCACGAAAGGTCAATTAGCATCATTTTACGGTAAATAATCTTAACGAGTGTGCTGATCTCTACATTGGCATCTAGATGTAATACACCACTGAAAGATACCGTGTGCTTAGGTTGCACAGTAAAATGGGTTTCAAAAAAAACACCAATTTGTCTGGCGTGATCAGATTGTGGAACATCCTCGACGAAATAGCCAAAGGATAAACACAACAAATACAGGTTTGAGTGCTCCCTTCTTTATGGGTATTCCAATATTGAATGGTCCACAGTCTCTTTTGCAGAGGAAGGTGTGTAAACCTACAATCCTATCATAAGAAAGTGGCACTGAACTACCTAAAATAGTCGATCTCGTAAATTAGCAAGTCATATTCATTAAAGTGAACCTAATAAATGTCACCGATTTGGTAGCCGTTGTCCCTGATATACCTTGATCTGCAGGTTGTTCCTATCTTCTTACTTTTTCCGGATTCAAAATCTGGCCACCTCGATCCGCCACTTATTTGTAGTAACCCCGATGGTAGCACATATGGCCCAAATAAGCACGGTTTGCACCAGTTTGATTGTTGTCACTCACCTGAGCCGATTTCTCCCTCCATGGATTCAAAATCTGGCCACCTCGATCCACCACTTATTTGTAGTAACCCTGATGGTAGCACATATAGCCCAAATAAGCACGGTTTGTACCAGTTTGATTGTTGTCACTCACCTGAGCCGATTTCTCCAGGTGACTGATCCGATGCCACAGCATTAGACCTTAAATTGACTTTGAAGTTAAAATTTAAATTTAAACATAATTTAAGTTTAAATTACTTTGAATTCGTAAGCATTATTTATCCCCAGGCCGAATGCAACCGGCATCGTTTGCACAGCGTTCTGTTTTACACTCCATGCAGACCTAAGTTAGATATTGCCTATTGCCAAAAGTCGCAGTGCTGTGTAAGGCCTGATCGACTCACTTCAGACCTCGAATTGTCAGTTTGTTCCACCTCTTCCCTTCAGGTCTCGTGTTCTACTTCAGTTACGGCATATGGTTCAGTGAAGCTGACAGCAAGAAGGATTCAATTCTACCAAGTCCTGAAACACGCGACTCAACGGACGTGAATTTATAAAACATTTTTCGGGTGTGCGCTTATAATTCAAAATACAGTATTTTTGAAAGGCTCTGTTTCTAGAGGATATTTTTTAAAAGTGCATGTACTAAAACTGCGGACCAACGCACTTTTATGCTTTCTTCAACATCTGTTGCGTTCACCAAACTCTAGAAGGAATTTCTAGCTTAGCCTCTATTTCGAAGATTCGCTCGATTCGCCCAAAGTTCATCGTCACGGTGATGTATTTAGTGACAGTACACCTTTGGTATTCGTAGTCGGTATCCTTTCAAAAATAAAACAAAGCCAGTCGTGAAATTGCACTCAACATTCCCAACTTGTGTTCCCTAATGATTGTCGTTATTCAGTTGGAGAAAAGGTAAGTTTTTTTATATTTCTTCGAATTCTTGGCTCCTGTTCGTTGGCTACAACTTTTAACTGACTGCCTTGAAAAGTTCCACAGCTTTCACTGTCGAACACAAAACCATATTTATCAGAACCACCAGCGAGATGAAAGCAGTCGGAAGCAACCAGTTCACTGCTTACAATTAGCTGATGCTTCTTATGCATTTTAGACTTGACTCTGGGGCTTACTCTTCATATTCATCAATCCCTGTGAAGTAGCTGAATTAAATGTACGGTCCGGGTCCACGGATTGGTAAATTTCCGACAGTTCAAAACCGTCAGTAAAGACTTGAGTGCCTGCTGTTGGTCAAAGTGTCTCAGTGAGTATACGGCTGATACAACGAGGGTTTCCACTCAAATCATATTCACCAACTTTGAAAAATGGTCAGAAATCACGTAACTCTTTTGCCAACAACCTGAGACTGACAACCAAATGGCCATGTGACCTGTCGCCGTGAGCTCATTCGATGTGTTTCACTACGATGAAAGACTTGGTGAGGTTGTTTTTGATAGTCAATTGAAAGAATTTTCCACCGAAAGATGATGCACCTACATATCGTAATTCTCAAAGTTAACGTGCTCGTTCCTGATTAACAGGCTAATGAACGTATTTCATACACTGGGGTGACTGACACGAAAGTGCGAGACTTTTAGGAAGGCACCGGTAGTCTTGGTTACAAAACTGGATAACCAGACCTAGTTCATTGAGCTTTTCATCGGTCGGCAGTCAAATCTCTAAACAAGTACTGTTTATTACAATAAACGAGTTCCTGTCGACGATCTTTATCATCACATGTTCGATTAGTTCAGACAATGAAGATAGGACACGCCCCTATAGTTGAACATAGAAACCAGGACGGCAAGCCGATTTTATGCCAAAAACCCAGACGTACAAAAAATCATAAAAGTGCAAATGTGTCCAGTGGCTCTCCCTATTATCATGAACACATATCTCCGGCCGACAATGGAATACGCGATCCAAGCCTGGGCTCCATGGCTGCAAAAGGATACACAACTGCTAGAGCGTATCTACCACCGCGCGACCAAGCTGGTCATTGGCCTCCGAAACGTTCCCTACAGTGAAAGGCTACGTAAACTCGATTTGTTTGATTTAACTTATCGGCGTATACAAGGAGACCTCATCCTGATGTTCAAGATAATAAACACCCCTAATCACCCTTTAAAACATTTGTTCACAGTTAATTTGGCCCGACAGACCCGACGGAATCCATTGGCCGTTGACATTCCATGTTCCCGCATTAACTGTCGGCGCTACTTTTTTTCAGTCCGCGTATCCGTCACGTGGAACAAACTACCAACATCTGTTGTGGATTGTGGTAACCTCGAGACTTTCAAACATTCGCTTGACGAATACATAAGATCTCACCCAACTTCCCTCATCAACATTTGAGATGCAGATTACAAACAATAGAACATATATGTCATATCATTCCGTTTATCTGTATACATACACACACACCAATATCCTTTGGTCATTGTAAAGCAAAATGCTTTTTAGACCAATATAACCTTGATTTACCTTGATTTGCCTTGATTTACAACTCTTGCAATGCAAGTACTCAGCACAGCATTGGATGTTTCCCTCAGCTTCACGCGGGGAATAGTACTGTGTATGAGAAAAAAACGAGGCAAACATCAAACTGTCATATAAGCACCACCGTGCAAGTACTGACGACTGATCACAGATATCCGGTGATGCTCTTAAGCCGAGACCATATGCAGATCACGGTAGGTTTGAGTTTAGTCTGTGAAATGGTTCTTGGAATATCATGAGCGGTCGATCATGCCAGCGAAATTTGGATACACATGACCTGCCTTCCAAACGTAACAAAATAAACACCAAACATTGTCACACAACCAACTTGTTAAACTTAGTCGCTTAGTTACAAGCAACTCAGCGTAGGTTATTGTATGAAAGATGAAATCATCAAACGATTCATTCAGTAATTCTACGGATGTATCAGTCGACAAAAAACAGTGACGAGAAGTTTGTCGGATGATAGTTTCAACAAAGGTACGGATATTGAATGCATGTATAAACAAAAAACGGTGTGCAAAAATGCAACTCACAGGCTGTTTCCCCCTTATGCAGTTGGATCACAACAATTTTGGTATGCAAGTCACCCGAGGCAGAGAAATTCGACTTAACAATACTGAAATGGCGGTGACCAGGATGAGACGCGTTCATTTTCTCAAAGTAGATTCACAGTATCGTAGCTGAATCAAAAGGATGAGCTGTTAATGTCACCATAAGTTACTCACAACCGGTGTCCAAATAGGAAATCAGACTGATCTACTACGCCCACTTGATGAACTTAGGAAAGCTGTAGCGAGTATTCGGCCGTTCAGGCTTTAA